TACTTTTTATTCTGGAATAATTTTAGATTTTTTAAAAACTCTATAAAGATGGTACGGAGAATTCCTGTATACATCACACCGGAGTTTCACTATAATTGACATCTTACATTATTGGGACGCATTTGTCACAATTAACAAACCCATACAGATATGTTATTATTCGCTCATCTCCATACTTTATTTGGATTTCCTTCATGTCCCTTTTCTGTTACAGAGTCCCCTCCAGGATACTACATTTAGTTGTCATGTCTCCTTAGACTCCTCTGAGCTGTGACAGTTCCTCAGACTTTCCTTGTTTTTTGATGACCTTGAGAGTTTTGAGGTATACTGGTCGGGTATTTTGTAGAACGATCTTCAATTCAGGTTTGTCTGATGTTTTTCTCATGGTCAGATCAGGATTATGGGTTTGTGTCATAATTAAAAAAAAAAAAAGAGTAAGAAGTCTGTTTAAACAAGTTATGTGATAACAATGCAATGGAACACTCAGCAGGCTAAGAAGGTAAGACGTTATATACACGCATATGACAAGGTCTCCAATGAAAGAGAGAGACAGAGAGAGACAGAGAGAGACAGAGAGAGGGAGCGACTCCGTAACATGAGAAGCCATGTGTAGAAGATGCTAGTGGACTGAGATTCAGCAATAATTATTCAATGACAAGGATCCTGAAGATGAGAGCCTTCAATTATTTTGTGATAGCACAAGAAAGTGGAATTATGAACTAAGAAAATGGTAATTAAGTAACCTCAAGTAAGATCCTTGCAGAAATCAGATGATGCGGCTTTAGTCTAGAAGTTTAATGTAACTTAGAAGCCTGCACAATTGGTTTCACCATCCTCTGAGAGGAGGTCATTGGCAGGATCACCAGCTCATGTTCCATGGTCATTTCAAGGTAGTGTGCCCAGAACAGGTTTGGCTGGTACAGCACAGGAGCACCTGGCCCAGGTCCAGTTCTCCCGCCCTAAGTGATCTTTTTCTCATGGTCAGATCGGGATTATGGGTTTGTGTCATAATTAAAAAAAAAAAAAAAGAGTAAGAAGTCTGTTTAAACAAGTTATGTGATAACAATGCAATGGAACACTCAGCAGGCTAAGAAGGTAAGACGTTATATACACGCATATGACAAGGTCTCCAATGAAAGAGAGAGAGAGAGAGAGAGCAATTCAGAAATATTCTGAATTGCTGCAACCAGAAAGCACAGCCATACTGTAACCAAAAATGAGACAGCCCCCTAATTATCATGGGCATGAGAGAGAAGCAAAAAATAAAACAAAAAGCAGCCAAGAGGTGATAGTGCTTCCTATTTGGGATAATGGGGACAATCCTGTCTAATCTAGCAAAAAATTGAAACTTTAGAATCTTTTTTTAAGGTAATTTTTCTGCTTTCAAGCACCATATATAAGCTAAGCCATAAGTAACTACGTCACTAAATTTATTTTTAAAATTATCATACGGTAGAACTGACTCTTTGGGGGCGTGGGTGGGGGCGTCCAGCCCTCTGGGGACAATACTCTCCCAGTACCTGTTGACCAACCCAGAAGCAACTCACTGATGTTTTAAAAGCTACAATTCTTTGTTCGCCTAAGTTGCTCCATGAAAACTCATTATACATGATTTGAACTAAGCCTATGACAAATTTAAAGGTAATCCCAACTAAATGAATTTCACAGTAACCCACTAAAATGATTATTTTACGACGTCTTTAAAAGTTTTGCCATCACCAGAGTACAATGGGTTCAGAAAAGAATCATCACTGGAGGTGAAAGTGCCAAGTACATGTTTGATGAGAAACAAGATATTCATGTTTCTTATTAAGCACAAAGAAAACTGGCCCGCTTCACAGTGAAGAAACTTAACAATCTTCGTGTTCCTCCTGGAGACCATGCACTGAGAGGGCTATATCGTTTTTGCGAGATTCCTACCAAAAAAAAAAAAATGCATATTCTGATTCTAATCATGAAAAATATCAGACAAATCTGACTTGAAGGACATTCTACAGAACTGGCTGATACACCTCAAAGGTGTCAAAGGCACGGAAGACAAAGAGCTTGCTGCAGTTCAGAGACTACAGTGGCGTGACGAGCATCACCCCCAGGTCCTGGGGCCTCCTCCCTTTCCCGCAGGGAGGCCTTTGCCGGCGGCCGGGAAGGCACCGGGCGGGCGAGCCCCCAGACGCAGGCGCAGTCCTCCTCCGCCCCATTGTCCCGCCCCTTCTCCCGCCCCCGCTCCCGCCGACCGGTCTGGGCGTCCCCGTCGCGCTGG